GCGTGCGCGTACCCCTAGGTTGTCAATTTGACCAACCTAATACAAGTCATGTATTACAAAAAATATACCAATATAAACTTCAGATGTTCTATTTTCAAAAGGTATGATTTTTATGTTATATAGTTTATATTGAGGTGATAAAATTGGTAACCTAAGTATACGCGTAGGACTTGTAAACTGAGACGGAGGGGCTAATATCATAAGTTAGTATCATAGCTAACCTCATTTATTGTCATGCATGACACATATTAGTACATCATTTAATATAGTATGGTATCATGATATGATACTCAACCATCTCTTTCTTCATTTAATTCTATGCCACCTCATCAAATTTGCCTAGTTGGCATGCATGATACTACCATTACAACCAACCTTACTTTGCACTATGAAGGTAGTAACTTAAATTATTGTCATATGCATGACACTAGTATAAGTTACTCGCCACTATGACCAGCCTTACTAGCCATCGATAGCACCTGGTTTCTTCAAAAAAGGGGCATTGAATGCCGAGAAAAATTCATTGTACGTCACTAAACTTGAGCCGGTTGATATATTGGTACCACTACTTCAAAATACACAAAGTACGGTCCAAGTACTTGCGCAAGGGGTTCACTTTGGTCCATTTGTATGTTTTTGTGTATGTATTTGCTGACTTGGCCGAGTCAGCGGCCGCCAACTCGCTTTGACTGCCACATACGTAGTCGATCATAGGGTGAATACTACTCGATCCGTTTTTTTTTGCAAAAACGCCATGACTAGCTCCCTGTCCGTCTTTCTTCCCCATGGTGGGCTTCCTCAGGAACAGCTTGATCTTCTTCCTGCCGAGCCAGCCATGGTGCTTGGTGGCGCGCGGCGGGCTGAACCCATACAGAGCGGTGCGGCGGAAGATGCAGCCTGTGCTGATGTACATGGGGCCCTGCAGCCCGTCCATGGCGCGCATGGCGACATAGAAGAAGACGAGGTTGTGGTTGGTGTACCGGTCGTTGGGGCCAATGCCCTCGAACCGCTGTGGGAACTGCACGTAGCAGACGCAGTCGCCGCGGTGGTCGAGCATGTAGCACATCCCTTCGCGGAGCGCCGCCGAGTTGTGCACGTAGTGGTCGCAGTCCAGGTTGAGGATGAAGGGCCCGTTCGACATGATGGCACTCGTCCTGACCAGTGTGTTCATGGCACCGGCCTTCTTGTTGTGGTCGTACCCGGGCCTCTTCTCGCGCAAAACGTACACCAGTATCGGCAGCCGGATGTCCACGCCCGCCGTGTCGATCAGCGCGCCGGACTCTGCCGGCTCACTGCCAAGCACTGGCTCCGACGCCGGTGGCGCATGCATTGCCTGCGCGTTCATCAATCATTTGGAGAAGATACATGAGCAGTTCGAATCGATTGAATAAGCATTTCGAAAGGATTTAGTATGTCAACTGCAACAACATCTATGGATTCGATCAATCACCTGAATGATGCCAGCGTGGTTGCCGCGCGTGTGATCCGTCGCCCCGGCGAGCCAAGTGCCGGCCCACTGGGAGCCGTCAGACATCCATGTCGCCTTCACGACCCCAGTCTATGCCAAACGGAGCTGCTCCCAGCACGCCACCGACAGCCACAGCCTCCTCTTGAAGGCGCCTTCTTGCTCGTAGCTCCTCGCCGGCATTGTACGCGTCGGAGCGCCGTCGGATCGCCTCCGTCGGCAAGTTGACCCGCACCTTGAACTCGTCGTACTCCTGCTTCACCTTCCAACTCTCGCGGACGAAGTCCAGCCGCACCTTGTTCTTGAGGAAATCCCGCTTCTGGCCGAAGTATGACTCCGAGCAGCGCGGCTTGACGCCGTGCTTCCGGCAGAATGGCACCCACGTGCGCGTGAAGCTGGCGGTCTCGGCGAGCGCCTCGAAGGGTGAGGAGCGCGCCGCCGTCGTCGGAGAGGTGGCAGGCGAGCTTCTCGACCGGGTAGTCGGCGGCGAGGATGCAGAGGATGGTGTTCGCGGTGACAAGCGGCGGCTCCTTCTCCGGGTCAGCGGTGGAGACGAAAACGTCGATGCCGGGGAGGTCGGAGCGGCCCTTGGGGTTGCATGCGGTGAGCAACTCGAAGCGGTCGGCAAGGACGTCGAGGTCGCAGGGCGGTTGACGGGGCAGAGCTTGGGGAGGCTGTCGAGCAGCCATGAGAAGGCGAACCACACCTCACACGTCACCGACAGCCCCCACAGCCACATGGCGTCCGGGTTCGGGTGCCGGATGCGCCACGCCAGGAAGAACCCCAGCTCCACCAGCCGGATGGCAATCAGCATCCTGCACAGGGCAGAGGAACAAGCGACGAGTCAAGGAGCTGCGAGCCTGCGAGGGAACCAAAATCGCTTGTTTTTACATGAGGAATTGGTACCTGTATGGGCTGAGGATGGCCTGAGAGACGTTGGTTTTCCTCATCAGGGGCCGGCAACAACGGGCATCGAAGTTGGGTGGCTCCTCGATGCCGACGAATCCGGAGGTGGCCCTAGCGCTGTTGCCGCCGCCGCCATGCTCGTTCTCGGGCCATAGAGCGTTGTCGTAGCTGTAGGTGCCCTTGGTCTCAAAGAGCCACCGGGCGTGGTCGAAGTCGGCCGGCTTGTTGTTGCTGCTGGGCATGGGCATCTTGATGGAGTGCACCATGGAGAAGCGCTTGGACATGGATGTCACGGGCATCTGGTCCCTCTCCTCCGACGAGGAGATGGCGTCGTCGTCGTCCTCGTCGACGGAGTCATCGGTGTCGTTGCCGGCGGAGTAGGCCTCCTTGCAGCCTGTGCAGTTGCCGGAGGCGGCGACGCAGTCCATGTAGCACTCCTCGCAGATCATGAAGCTATAATCACAGGGCGGGTGGCCGCCAACGCCGGCATGTCGCAGCCGCGCATCTTGCAGGACATGTTGACGGAGGCGGCCGGCCGAGCGCCGTCGGCGGAGTTGCTGAGCACGTGGGCGTGCGTCACGCAGTTGAGGCCGCTGGTGAAGATGGTCCCGGAGACGTAGCTCCTCTCCGGCAACACCTCCCCCTCCTCCTCAGCTGCGGGCGCGTCCGTGGACGCGGACGCCATGGTCCTGTCCGGCGTGGGTGGGATGTGCACGGTGTAGTGTACGAACTCGGCGCTTGCGTCGGCACCGTCCCGCGAGGCGTACCGGCTCCCCTGCTCAGGCGCACCGGCGAGACCTACAGCGTCGCGATGGAGGAGCCGATGGAGTGCCTGGGCACGGGGCTGGTGAGCCCGGACCCCCTCCTCACGACCCCATCCCAGGGGCTCCCGCCGCCAGCACCCTTCCCTCTCGTCGGCGACACGGTCACCGTCACCGGCTCGCCCGCCGGCAACGACAGCCGCCGCGACATCCCTCCACCGATTCACCCCCGCCTCCTCCAAATCAGCTCAAAACTCCAGACGATCAAATAACTAGCAGCAAGCAGGGCGCTCAGCAGCTCAAACCGATTCCTCGCTCTCAAAGAAGAAAAAGAGAAGGGTGGTCATGGCGTTTTTGCAAAACCACCCCGGATCGAGTAGTATTCACCGTAGGATTGACTACGTGGCGGTCAAAGCGAGCTGGCGGTCGCTGACTTGGCCAAGTCAGCAAATACGTACACGAAATTGTATAAATAGACCAAAGTGAACCCCTTGCGTAAATACTTGTACCTAGTTTGGGTATTTTGAAGTAGTGATACAAATCTGTCACCCGTCACCCGGCTCTAAGTTTGGTGACCTAGAGTGAATTTTTCTATGCATTAGCCTTCGCCCCCCGCGGACGCGCAGAAGAGGGACATCCGCGTTGGAGTTGCCCTTTATCTCCCTCGACTCTCTTACTTCGGCGCCTCCGCCACAGATCGGCACCGGCGAGTCCCTCTTCTGCGCGCCGCCCTGTCTGCCCCACCGCCCGCCGCCTGCGTGCTCAGTCAGCGCCGCTAGCTCCACGCTGTCAGCGTCTCGTCGGCTCGGCTACAAGTCGCTCGTCCTGTTCGTCTCGTCGGCCTCCTCTCTACCTTACGCACGCGCGGAGGCGACAGGCGCCGCCCTCTGGCGGCCGGCGTCCAGCGGCCAGCGCATGTAGCACGGCCAGAAGGGCAGGTAAGCCCTTTTTCCTCTCTCCTTTCCCCCAGAACTGCAGTGAATTCATGACTTGGAAACCCTAGGTTTGCGAGATGAAATTTCTCTGAATTGAGAGGGGTTGAGGAAGATGGAACAAGCATTTTGTGATATTTCTTTAAAGTTGATCAAGCAACTAAATTTGGATATTTTATCATGGTGAGGAGTAGAAAATTTCCTGCCAGTCCTATGCTCCTTACCCAATCCCCTTCATGGTTCCATGCCCATATTCTCGAATTCATCGGTTTGATTGATTCATTATCATTCCTCAGGCCAATTGTTTGTCCTACTGCTGTAGCAGGTCTGCAGCTGAGCAGACGATGAGGCTGGGAGCATTTTGGTAGCAGTCAATTCACACCGGGGCAAGGTGATTTTCGTATGCTAGTTGTCAGTTGCCTAGTTCTAGTTGGTTCATACATCAAATTTTAATTTTTAAATCACGAATAGATATCATTGAGCCATGGACAGGGGTGCGTGGAAGTTAGCTATCCACGTGCCAGAACCATGGTGGGTGCGTGGAAGTTAACTCAAAAACTATTCCTCAGTTAGTCAGTTTATTTTTTGAACCGGCTAATCAGTGCAAATGGAGAAGATATCTACAATAGTACTAGCAGCTCAGCAAATGGGTTGTATGGTTTTGTCCCCATACATTTTTTAACACCCCTACCGCCATGTACTGGTACAAGTTTTTGAGTTTTTTTTTGCTTGATGAATCTAGTAGCAGAAGCAAGTTGGAGGTGGGACTGGGGGGCTTGTAACACTCGTCAATTACATAGCCCAAATGGCTGCTGCTGTTTGTGAATTATTGATTCACGTTGACATGTTCTGTTGTTTTTGCACCTATATGATGACGAGTGATACAAAGTCTTTCACTCTGTTAATCCCATTTATTTATATGTTTATTAGTGTCTGATGGAGAAAAGTATGTCTGATTATTTTGGAGACGAGAATGATTACTGGAGCTGTCAGCATCACAACAGTGGTACTGATTATTTGAAAGAATCAAATGAGTTCATTTATCGAAAAAAGTTGGTAAGAATTTACTGCATTTGTTACTGCCATATTTGTGTGCCTGCTGCTTTGTCTTAATTAACCTTTGGAAAAAAAGTTCTCTCTAGCATGATTTCATGTGAGTTCCCTTTGTGAAGGGTACATATGAAATGCTAACACTTAACTCGGGTGCTAATGTTTCCTACCCCAAGTTTGGACATTTATCAAAAAATCCTTATTTTTATGTAGATTTTGCTCTGCTACAATAATCTAAATTATCATGTCGAAATTGAACATCTGTTACGTGATAAGAAGAGGAGATATTTCCGTTTCAATTTTCCTTCTGTTGATTATTGTCAGAGATGTTTCTTCGTTTAGTTATTTCTTTTAGCAGATGTTAAGTTTGAGCTTGAGTTTTATGTGCTTGCAGGTGTCTTTAAGGGCTACCTTTTGTTTTATCATCTAATTTTTGTTTAGTTATTACTTTTTTTTTGCTGATACCATTTTTGGTTGCTGGATCTAAGTGAAACATTCTTTTGAGGTGTATGTATTTCTATGGTGCAATAGTGATCCCATTTTTGCCTAGGTGCATTCTAGGGTATATGCATATTGATACTGTCCTTGATATTGATGGAATCATATTAAACTGTCTGTATAAATCACTTATGCATGTCTAGAGACATAAATGTCCAGTCCTCAAATTCATAGTTTAAGTGACCATCTTGCAAGCATATGAACCTACTGTGCAGTCCACTTGATTTTAGTGTTTGCACGAGCTATAGCATATCCTTTGCGACAGAGACTTCAGTTGATCATTACACAGGGTACTGATGCCGAACACAGCGCCCTCTCTCGAGCGTTTCTTGACGAAGCATTCTCTGCAAGGCATCTGAAAATATCATTACTCAATGTTTCATTGCTACGTACCAAGCTATAATGTTTCTGTTAAATCATGCAGGTGTCATCAGCAATATGGACACCTCCTTTGCAAGCTTAAATCAGTTTGGTTCCATACAGAGCGGGCAGCTCGCCTAGAATGTTTATTTTGTTATGACAAGTTCAGGAAGGATGCGCTGGACATTGTTGCATTCTTTGAGGAGGAGCTCAAAAAGTGCAAGGATGGGAACCCCACAACGTTCCAAATATATCAACGATCTTATTTATCAACTTTAATTAGCCTCATGCCTACAATCATTCATTTAGTCTTAGAGGTGAATATTGTTAACATTTGTCGCTCTTATCAAATTAGTAGAATATCATGAATTCTAACGGTTGCTGCTTTTCAAAATTAGCTTGCGATAAGTGAATTTGACTGTTGACTTTCAGCTGCTTCGATCTGTACATGCACTATGGAAGGATGATACTATGGTAACTTTACCAGAAGTACTTGCAGAAGAAATTAGGAAACTGAAACTGCAAGACACTGACCTTTCAGAGTTCAAAGAGAATGACATAGCGCATTGGTTACAGCTAATCCGTGAGAGAGGGTATGCAAATTTCTTGTAGTAGTTAGGTTAATTTTGATGTTGTTCTGACAGTTGCCCTTTCGGTTATTTCTTTTAACAGGGCATGCATGTTAATTGTTGTTAATGTTGTATTTGTGCTTCTGAGTTTGCCTTTCTGCAGATACAACCTCTTAGGTTTATGTGCGGCAATTGAGGGACCATTCTGCGAGCTGTTAGACAGTTCATCAGTTAGCGATGCCATAATCGAAGACTTGGGTTGCATGGAATCCCGGCATGTTAGCAAGCTAATCGATCTTGTCATCATTCCTTTGATGAAGTATTGCCCTTCTAAGCGATTGGGAGAATGGATTTTGAAGCTCTTACCACCCTTATTTATTTACTGCGAGGACATACTTTGTGGCGCATGGTTCAATCTTCTAAATAAAGGCCGGGCTGGTTATCCTTACTACTTCGGTTATCTTCGTGGGTCACAGAGAAGTGCAAAGAAGTTAGAAGAGTGCCTACTGCTTGACTTGACTCGCAAAGTCTCAAAGTTGCTTGGGGTTCTAGCATCTTCAAAACCAATTGGCGCTCTTACATGTGTGGACCTGCAATCTGTCAGTACGGCGAAGGCTGCTTCATCGCGTGATTCGAAGCGCGCGTCATCTAACTCTGTTATTGGGTAAGACCGTCCAGAAAAAAAGTCTAGATATCAGTGTCCTTCTATATTTACTTGATATTGCTTCTTTTCATTATTATGTTTTAGCATTAGTAAAGATGGATGCAAGATTATAAATGCCCTTTATTTGCAGATATACTTTACATAATGATTGTTTTGGAATGTTAAATATGAACCTATTTGGGTCATGGGTTGATGGTGAAGCAACGAGGGACGCCGTTCCCTTTTGTCGTGCTTTGGTCCAAGTTGCAGTTGCTACACAAAACAGTAAACTCAGACGGTTTATTCTACATGATATGCTCCCAGCTACAATTAAGCGCCTTTGTACTGATCTTCCATGCGCGGTTCAGCGGACAATCAAAAAGTTAAGTTGCCAGCTGAACTCAAGCAAGAGCCAAAAGGCTAGTAAAGATCTTTGGATCCTATGTCAAGAGATTTATGCAGTTCATATACAAAATCAGGTAGCTTATCTTACTGTTACTTTTGCGAGGATCGGTTGCTTGCTTGTTGCGTGTTTTTCGTAGTAATTATCTAGCTGACCATTGTTTACTTGCTTGTGGTATGCACTCTGCAATATTCCTGGTAATCATCTCTTAGGTCTCCATTTAGAATGTCCGTACTGATTAACATTAGGATGCTACTTAATTTATATCGAGACCCTTTTGAGCTGGTCAGTATTGGTCAATTTGTCAGAAGAGACAGGTTGGTAAAGATGTAATGGTAACATCTTATTGAAGCAAAGTACCAATATGGTCTTCGTTGTTCCTTGTTGGGGAGTGTACTCTGAACTCTGGGAGAAGAGACGAAATATATATTATATTAAGAATAAAGTTCTGTGGCTTCTAGGAGGCACAGTTCCCTGGAACTGTGTTAATCTGATATCTGGAGCACGCCTGTGGAGCATCATGGTGCAGTAATAGTCTTATGCTAGCCTGTAGAGCATCATGTTGCAGTAATAGTCTTATGGTGTAGGAGCTCCATATCCATCTCTTATTCTTGTGCTCTAGCTCCCAGTTATATAATCTGGGAAATCTCTTTGCATTGAGACGTAGGAAATTATGGGCATGGGAGAATTCTGTGCTGTATTTATGTGCTTTAGGTCATGACATCAGAATAAATCTGAACTCGTGTAAGACAAAACATCATGGTACATGAGAACCAATAAAGTAGTACAAAGGTCTCCCTTCACATTATTATACGGAAGGACCGAACATAATGTGTTCAAGAAAGAAATCCTTGGCCAGTTCCTCCTCGTTTTCAAGGTGAAATCAAGAAAAAAGTAGCGTGTAGTAGTAGAAGTACACTTGCACTGAAGCAACAAGAACATTTACTGCAAGTTCTTGTCGATGTAGACAACACTGGTCTGTACGTGTTCCCTAAAAAAAGCACTACAAGTCTACAATTGCTAGCAATGAAAACAAACTGTAAAAAAGGTAAGAGGAGTTGGTGGCCAGAATCAAAACCATGGAATGAATATTTAGAACAGTGAGCAGATGCATCTTCACAAAGTAATCATCCAGATGGGTCAAATAATATGTCCAACAAAAAGTCCAAATAGTAAGCACATTAAATACCTATCTTGAATTAGCAAGCTCGAAACTACTCGGATTTGGTCGCCGTGGAGATCAAGTGCTGGTGAGCAGAGACACCAGTGAGCGCTTTATCATTTGGAGGTTGAGTAGAGGCGGCGGGAGGCGCTGGCATTGACTGCAACGAGGAGACACAACAGCATGTGGATGGGTTTGGGGTTCTTTTCCCCGTCGAGATGGGTTTGGGGAGGTGGGGGGTAGGCGGTTGTGTTGTATATGTGAACCGTGGGGGAAACCCGACAAGCCTCAGATCTTTCTAGCTGAATTGATAAGATAGGGTCCCACATTATCATAGGATTACAAGATCTTCTCATACAGATCAGGATCCAGACAACCTTGAGACCAGGGATTTCTTAAAGGATGCACAATTGCTCTAGTCATATCTCATGTTAACTCGTATGCATACAGCTAGCTACTTATATGGTTAAACACTGATTGTATTGCCTTATGCCTTCCCTTTTTTTGTATACATACATTAGGATTTCACCGCCGAGAACCCGGGCAATGTGAACAGACGAGGCCAGTTTAAAGATTGGCTTGCAAGGCAAAAGAAAGAACTTTTTGCGAAGGCATCTTATGATATTCCAGTGGGCTTTCCTTCTGATTTGTGGAATTGGGAGGCATGTTACGTTTTTAACTTTACCTGTCATAGTCTTTTGTGTTCATTTTAGTTTTACATAAGGTTTTTTCATTTCCAAAACAGTTTGAAGACGAATTTCAAAGATACCTCCCTACCTATATTGACATATTGTATGAAGTTGATGCAATGGATTGTCCAGAGGTAAATATATTCTCAAACTAGAGCATTTGCACCAAAATGTTCTTTGCTAAATCTATTGCTCTTCAAAGAATTGTTAGTGCTTATGCTGATAGCAATGTAAATTCGATAAAATTAAACCTAGCTGCAGAAATATTTAGCTGATGCTGTGTTGCATGCTTAAAAGGACGTGTACGAGTATGGGTACGGGTACGTGACATTGGAATACAGTAATATTCAAAAACGAAATCACAGGGATACTATGATTATACATGTGTCTAGAGAATAATCATTTGTTAGCTTTACCTTCACTACTTGATTGTAACAAACTAACAATCAGTGCATAACTAGTTTACTGAGCTACAACAATCACATCACATATATGAAATTACCAAGGACTAGTCAATTTCTTGCTTGGCATGTACCCGGGTGAAATCCAGAGATGTCTAATTGTTAGAATTAGGCTGAAGTAAGTAGAGGGGAGCTGGGGCTGATGAACATTTAAGTGCTGCATAATTCTTCCACGTTTCTCAGCTATGATAACTTTCTTAAGTTGGTGCATGTTTGTAAAATTTTCAGCCCCACGGGGCATGTTGTAGGTGTATGTGAGTTTTGTTTGAGTCATTTTGAACTCCTTTATTTCTCTTCTATTAATAATGTCGCATAATACTTTCTGTTTTGATAATTTGGAAGCTGACTAGTGAAGTTATCTGGCAATTATGTAATGACAAATTAACAGACGAGGTTTTGATAAAATTGCTGTGTGACGAAGTGTGAGAAATCTTGTATAAGTGTGAATGCCTAAACCTTGTAATTTGTGTCCATCTGTGCTACTCGCTCCATTTCACTTTAATTGTCCTGGCCTCGAGTAATTCTATTTCAAAATATCTGCCATCTTTGTGTTTACTTGAATATTGCACGTTCATTTCTTATTAGCTATCTTAAATTTAATGCTTCTGTGGGTGTACACATGGTGGGTTGAGGAAAATGGAGGAGTTAGAAATATTATTTATGTAGTTGCCAATGCAAAGTAGATTTTGGATCACTGATAGAAAATTCTATAGTTAATTTTGTTAAGACATTGTTGCATTATTCATTTGTGTTAGTAAACAATTCCATTTTTATAATTTGGCATATGTAACTTCAGGTTACTCGTTAAATATTCTGTAGTTCTGATCTTACATTTCATAAGATTCTCTGAAGCCTTACACTTGCTAAGGATCTAAACAATCTTACAGTGTATATGTAGCAGTTTTGTGGTACTAATGTAATAATTTTAAGTTGACAACACATGTAGAAATATATACATTTGGAAAAAGAACATGTTAGTATAACTTCAGCTCTGCTTATCATTCTCTGATAAACTATTCACCTGAATGATGTTTGTTCGCACTCTGATACGCTTTTTGAGAAACTGAGTCCTGAATTTCTAGCCAAACATGATTTAACAGCTGTGCCGATTATCATGTACAGACGGTATTTAGTACCCCCTCTGTATGGAATGGAGGGGGGGGGGGGTAAGATACATGCATTAATCAGTCCCTAATAATCTATTGGTCTGCAGTATGGTTGTTCACGCTCTTCTACGCTTCTTGAGAAACTGAGGCCTGAATTTCGATTAAAACATGGTATTAACAGTTTTCGGGATCGTCATATGTGGACGATAAATGATATGATTAAGGTATGTGACGGGCGATGGAACTTAACAAATGTATGCTATCTGGGTGTATCTTGTCTAATAACAATTTTTCCTTGTCTCTGAAGCGAAAACTACCTGCAGAATATTCCAAGAGGCGTTCCCGTCAAATGGACAAATGGCTTTGCAAACTCATTTCCTCGAAACCTTACTTTAAGGTACTTGTCTTGCTTTATTGTTTTTGAGTGAAAGGAAGTATATAATAAACATGGAATACCATAATATCAACTTACCTGTGTTGCATAGTCCAAGGGGCAAATATATAGTTCAATGTACTTGGAGTACAAGGGAGGAAATCTATAGACTAATAAGGACACATAGACCCTCCGTCCGAAAATACTTGTCATCAAAATGGACAAAAAGGGATGTATCTAGAACTAAAATACATCTAGATACATCCCCTTTTATTCATTTTGATGACAAGTATTTCCGGACGGAGGGAGTACTTTTTAGCGCCCACCTCATCCAGAGAGTATGCAATAGCATTGCATTTGAAGAAGTATAACACTAAAATAAATAGTGAAAATAAAAAATCCGCATTTTGGTAGTGTCGTTGTAGAACGGAGAGTCTTCAAAAACCTGTTGAGTCAAGCCAAAAGGGAGATAGAAGATGGCAAGTGGATGACCGATCTGTTTGGGAGATGGGAGCTGGCCGGCGGAGGATTCGCTCATAGGACGAAACAGGCGTGATTCTAGTAGGATGTCAGTGCGACTCGGCACAATGAGGTGGTGTGCCGATCTCTATGGGTGTGGAGCCGGCCTCCAGGAGATGGCGATGGTGACGGCGACGGAGCCTTGGTGGATGGCGGTGGCGGTCTGATGGGGAATAAGGTGGCAGCGGGAATCTTGGCTCGGCCCTGGCACGGGCGGGCTTTGCGTGGGAGAACTGTGGGAGTGGAGAGTGGGTTTCGATCTGAGGTGCAGTAGGGTGGTGAGTTGAACGGAAGAAATCGAAGAAACATATTTGAGTATGATTACGAGAATGATATTTGGTCCGTACAGAGGCTAACGTGATCGGTCGATGGAGAGAGACGCAGAGACTAAGAAAAAGAGCGATCAAGCGTGAGTACATGGAAGCTCGCAAAAGAAATTCCGAAACCTGGGCTCATGGCATGTTAGAGGAGCAACTTATCTGTACTGCATAGCCCACGGGCAAATATATAGAACAATAGGCTTGAGTACATGGAAGGAAATCTAGACTATCTAGACCAATTAATACTCCCAATAATATTTACCCGTATGTTTGCAGCACTCTGATGAACGTCAAAGTGCCATGACTTGGCTTATGGAAGACTCGCCGTTAGATGCAAATCTTTCTGAGTTGGATGTGCAAGATGCGGTTGATGTGTGTATCGTTCTTAATTTAGTCACTGTTGCTAAAAATACTGGTTGATGTTATGCTGACAACTTTTGCTCTGGTAGATCTTTTACAATACAATATTATTCTACTTGGAACCTCAGTTTCATCCTCTAATACGGGAGGTGAGCTGTCAATATATTTGTATTCCTCTGTCTTTTTTCTAATTTTCTGTCTTTCTAATTTTGATTATGTAATATTCATGATGCACAGGGTCAAAAGGACTTCCTTATAAAGGTAGCTCACCAGTTCGTTTTTGCAGAAGAGACCAATTCTTGCAAGGTTTGCTTCTAGCCTTCTATCTCTCCTGGTGGACTGTTAATTTTAATGTTAAGTGAAATTTTCTCTTCTCAGCCCCTCGAACCAGAATCACGTGATTTTCCTGGCCATCTGCAGCCTTATGCAAGTTCATACATCCATACAATGAAGTTACAATCTAAGGTATGGTGTCACTTCATTTTATAGAGTGAAGGTAGAATGTAAGGTTTGATATCACTTTGTTTTATAGTCGCAATGCTTGGTGTGCCCTGTAAGTGTTGCGCCTTCTGTTGTGATTTTGGCAGTGTTCTTCTAATAGAACAAACATTTAGTTGCGTGTTCAAGGGAAGAACTTTGTTGTATGGTCTATTTTTTGTACCTACCAGGGTTTCTGCTATTTTAGCTGTGTTTTTCTAATAGAACAACAATTCATGTTTAGTTGCATGTTTGAGGAAAAATACTTTGTTTAATAGTCTATTGTTTACCACTGTTGTGTTCTGCAATTATTCTAGCTTGTAATTAGCTAAAACTGTAGATCTGTGGTTAATGTTGGTTCCCTTTGCATTGCAAATGGCAATGCCATCTTCAGAACAGTTTTGTCCTAAAAAGGAGTAATAGGTTAAAGTTGAATGCATGTGATGAGGAGAACAAAGCATGAGGAGAACAAAGTGCATAGATTTGTTTTATACTCCCTCCGTTCCACAATGTAAGACGTTGAATGCAAAAGGCCAAAGGCCACCATAAATATAACTAACAAAATCTAGATAACAAAAGTTATCGAAAAGTCAACACCCCAAGACATGCATCATCCTAGTGAAGACAGGTTAAATACTCTCCCTCCGTCCCACAATGTAAGACGTTTTTGCAAGCTATTTTTAACTTTTGTTAAATAGATTTTGTTAGTTATATTTATGGTGGCCTTTGGCCTTTTGCATTCTGGTCTTTGGCTTCCCACCTGTGCAGGTGTATATGACGGCTTTAGCAACCTGATAATAGTGAGTTGCATATTTCCCTAACATGGTATTAGAGCTTAGGTTAATTTTTTAGCATGCGCAACTCGTGCTCAATCCTCTCATCGAGCTGCCGCTACTTCTCTTGCTGATTCCCTTGATCTACGCCTCCACCGCGCTCCTATTTACATGCATCGTTGCTGCTAATTCTCTGGATTGCATCCGCGTTGCCCCTGCCTAGGTCCACACTGTTGAAGGAGCGGCTGCACCCGTCCGTTGGACAAGGCTAGGAACGGCTGCACGCATTCGTTGGGCTAGCCAGGAGTGGCTGCTCGTGTCCTGTCGCTGGCCGCTGATTTCCCGCCGCCGGCCGCCGGTGATCGGGCCGTGCCTTCATCAACCATGAGACCACCTTTAGTCGCCGTTTCTCGTCGCCGGCCGCCAGTGATAGGGCCGTGCCTTCATCAACCATGAGACCACCTTTAGTCGCCGTTTCTCGTCGCCGGCCGCCGATTCCCTCCTTTGGCTCTCCCAGGTCAGGCCGTTGCTCGAGGTCCAGCCTCCGTCGCCGTCTTCGGCTCTCCCAAGTCAAGCTACCACCGCCGCGCTGCTCCTGCCCGAGGTCCATGTCCGCATGCGTGTGGTGTTGTGGCGAACGTGTGTGTGCCTCTGCGTGTGTGTGGTTGACCCAATCAAGATCAGCTGTGAGCAAAAAAAAAAAAAGGAAAAGAGAAAAAAAAAGCTCTTGTCGGGGCTGGTCTTTCACCCTTGCTATCCAGTGATTTTCGACGGTGTTCCCTACGTTGACCCTGTCTCGCACATACGTCGTTGCTCGGTGCGTGGTGCTCGTCCATATGTGACGTTGTCCCCTATGGCCCTATGGTGTCTTTAGCTGGCTGTGTTTGTCGCTCTTCGTCGACTCTTCCTGAGGCTTTTGCCCGCAATGGCGGTGACCCGCTCTACGTCGACTCCTCTCGTGGCTTCCACGCGCGCCTGTTTCCGCTCTACGTCGACTCCCCCAGTGGCCTCCACATGCGGCTCTATGTCGACTCGCTTCCCTTGGTCGACTCAACACGTGGCTTCCACGGGTGGCAGCGACTGCTCATCGTCGGTAAGTGTTTCTACCTCGACCTCCTTCGCCGTGTCCCTATCCGCACGTGAGATTGCGCAGCTGCGATGCCTGCTTGTTGCTTGGGATTCTTCACCGACAGGTTCTGCACGTTCCGTGACCGACTCTTCTGGCACTGAGAAACCACCTTCTACTCATTCAAGTACGTCCCCATGGATTCTATTCTTGATACTGGAGTGTCTTTTATGACTTGTGATTCTTCCTTTTGACCTCCGTTCGACTTGTGGAGCCTCCTTCTCGTGTTCTTATGGCACTCCCCTCCCTGTAGCTAGTCGAGGCACTCTTAGCACTTATTCATTTCATGTTCCCTCGTCGCTCATGTCCCTCGACTTACTATGCAGCTCATATCTGGTGGTCAAATTGTTGGCTCTAGTTGTAGGGTCATTCTTGACTTCGATTCGTGTTCTGTTCAGGATCGTCGCACGGGGCCCTCGATGTCCTGATGGTCTCTGGGAGCTTGACTGGCTTCGTCTTCCCTCTGCTGCCACCGCCTCTAGTCTCACAACCCCGATTGCCGCATCTACGAGCTCATTTCAGCAGTGACATCATCGCCTTGGTCATTTATGTGGTTCTCGTCTCACGTCTTTGGTTAATCGCGGTGTTCTAGGGTCTGTCTGTGGTAACGCTTCGTTAGATTGTCTGGGTTGTAGACTTGATAAGCATATTCAACTATCATATCCTCACAATGAGTCGGTGTCCGAGATCTCGTTCACTCTGATGTTTGGGGTTTGGCTCCCTTCGCTTCGAAAGGGGGTCATTGCTACTATATTATCTTTATAGACAATTTTTCTCAGTACACTTGGATCTATTTCATGTCTTCTCGTAGCAAGGTCTTATCTATATACAAAAATTTGCTGCCATGGTTCATACCAGTTTTCCACTCCTATTCGTGTTTTTTGTGCAGATTCAGCTGGTGAGTATATCTCCCATGCGCTGCGAGGATTCCTTGTTGAGCAGGGTACTCTTACTCAATTCTCTTGCCCTGGTGCTCATGCTCAGAATGGTGTGGCTGAGCGCAAGCATCATCACCTTCTTGAGACGCCGCGTGCGATGACGATCACCGCCTCTTTCGCCTCACTTCTAGGCTGAGGCTGTTACCACTTCCACCTATCTCATCAACATTCATCCATCTGCTACTTTATAGGGTGGTATTCCTCTTGAGAGTCTTTCTGGTCGTTCTCCTGATTATTCGAAACTTCGTTTGTTTGGTTGCGTTTGCTATGTTTTGCTTGCCCCTCGTGAAAGCACCAAACTGACCGCTCATTCTGTTGAGTGTCTTTCTCGGATACCGTGATGAGCATAAGGGCTATCCGTGTTAGGATCTTGTCGGTCATTGGGTGCGTATTTCCTGGGATGTGATCTTTGATGAGTCCCTTCTATCCGCGTCCATCCTCCTCGGCCTTTTCCAGGGTGGGCATCTCTTTCCTTACGTTTCTGGATACACCTCCCTCTGTGCCCAATATTCAACGCCGCCCTCTCCTACGTTTTCTTCTCCTCCCTCATGGCATCTCCACCTTCATCACTGATACCTTCCCCCTCTCCACCTTCATCACCAATACATTCCCCGTCTCCACCTCTTCCATCCTTTATATGCTGCCACCACCTGGGTATTCTGTTCCTCATGGTATGTTTTGTCGTCTTCGTTGCTCTCTCTATGGCTATCCTGTCCATATTTTGAGCCGGTTTGTTTTTGCTCCCACTTTGGTTCACTACCGTCACCTTCTTCCTGTTTACGATATCTTAGTGGCAGAATCTCTCACCGTCTCTTCTTTCCCCGTTTGAGTTCGCTATAGGTCCAGCATATTCGGATGCTACATGGGCTAGTGATTCCTTGGATCGCCGTTCACTGTGTTTTTCTTGTGGTTCTCTCATTGCCTGGAAGGCGAAGGAACAAACTGCAGTTTCCCGTTCGAGTGCAGAGGCTGAGTTACGAGCTATGGCTCTATTGACGGCAAAGGTGACTTGGTTATGATGGTTGCTAGAGGATTTTGGTGTTTTTGTTACTACACCTATGACCCTCTTGTCAGATAGTACATGTGCTATCAGCATTCCGGGAGACCCTGTGAAGCATGACTACCAAGCATATTGGGGTTGACGCTTTTTTTGTGAGCGCAGGTGTCCATGATCATGCTATTGCTCTTTAGTATGTGCCTTCCGAGTTACAGTTGGCGGACTAAATGAAGGCCCAAACTAGAGCGCAACATGGATTTTACCTCTCCAATCTCAGTATTGTGGATCCACCATGAGTTTTTGAAGGGGAGGGGGGCTGGTGGTGGTGGTAGAGTTATCTATACTTCTAGTGTATGAATGTTACCCCATATGAGCCGTAGGATCTTTCTTATCTGACGGCCCACATTAACTGTCTTTGGCTAGAGGACAACGTGGCTGCAACTTAGACCGTTGGATAGACTAATCAAACGGCCCATAGTGTAGGGATTCGCGGCAGCCACGCTACTGTGCTGCGGCATGCGGCCTCTCTGAACAGGCCTCTACGTACGGATGATTCTTCTCTGTCTAGAAAGTTCTGGCATGCTCACGTGTAGTATAGCAACTACTATAGCAAGCAAACAGGAGAGATACAGATTAAGAAATCTGGCATGCTCACGTTAGTGGTAGTAGTATTAGCGACATGCAGCAGTCCAGCATCCAGATAGGCGCGTATCAAATTAGAAAATTGAAAGTAGAACAAAAGTATGAATGTGATAAATGTTGGGACTTAATATCTTTTACCTTCACTTAATAAATCCATTTTTATAAATGTTATGGCATGGTTTTCCATTTTTTATTAAAAGTTTTGTATATTTGAACCGATCTAACATTTTTATAAACCAATGATGCATCAGTACATTTTTATTTATGTTTTTACTGTTGATAATTAATTAAGAAAGGCACGAGCAGGGCTGGTACAACACATGGGCTAATACTTTCTCGAATGTACCCCATTTTGCAGCAATTCCTCCACTTTCTCCTTCAATATATCATGCTCTTTTGGGCTCATTCGATAGTGTGGAAGATTAGGAAGACTCGCTCCCGGAATTAAGTCGATTCTATGTTGAATTCCTCATCGGCGGTAGGCCTTGTGGCTCCCCAAGCATGTTATGAAATTCTGCTAATAAGCCATGTACCTTTGCTGGAATTTCAACAGTCGGGTGCTCTTCTCCTTTTACAATAAGTGCAGCACACAAATCTGCCTCCTTCAAGTCTTCCGTAAACTCATTAGAGGTGTGGGAGATAGTTAACATACTTTTCCCCTCGTCCTTAGAGATATTACCGTAAGTTTTGTTTGGTAGAATAATGATCATTTTCTTATTCCAAATGGAAGAGTAAGAATTTTCCTTGCCCTTGTGTGTAGTATCCACATCAAATTGCCAAGGTCTCCCAAGAAGAACATGGCTGGCGTCCATATCAACCACGTCACACAACACATTTGAGTGATAATGCTTGCCCAAAGAAAGTGGCAGGTTGCATTTTTTGGTGATCCAATATTCACTCCTTTCTTGATCCATCTAATAGTGTAGGGATTTGGATGATCATGGGTTTCAAGCTTTAAGTGGTTCACCAAATTCTGGGAGATAAGATTCTCGCAACTGCAACTATCAATCACTAATTTGCATACCTTGCCATTCACCGTGCATTTGCTCTCAAATATTTTTTTCCGTTGTGTGTCGTCATGTTGTGGTGTGGAACATAGGAGACGCTGAATCACACATACCACCTCTTCACCTTCTTGACAAACCTCTTGTCCCTCTACATCTTCAGATTTGTATTTTTCCTCATGGTCTTCACCATCATGGATAGTTGTGTTCACACATTTTCTTAGTGGGCAACCGCTAGATATATGTCCCTCTTCACCACATTTATAGCATTTTGGACCTTCATTGGACTTACCCTTGCCCCTTGTTTGCTTCTGGATGGGTCGTTTTCCCTTTGGTGGAGCGGTCTTTTCTTCCACTCTATTAGGCTGACTCCTAACGAGCCTTTGGTTTGGGGATATGGAGCCTTAGTTGTCTTTCTCATCCTCACAAACCTCTCGGCCTTCAAGGCTAGAGCTTGTGCTTGATCAATGGACGAGATTTGTTGCATCATTAATCGATCTTGAATAGCATCATTGAGACCATTGATGTACCTTGCAACTTGTTGATCTTCAGTTTCGGCAAGGTTGCACCTCACTTGTAGCCTTAGAAACTCCTCCATGTAATCTGAAACAGTCCTATTTCCTTGATCACAATTTTGAAATTGGATAAATAGGATCTGGTCATAATCAGCGGGCAAAAATCTCCCTTTCAAAAGACTTTTCATTTGCCGCCAAGTTCTCACACGAGGTTCTCCTCCCAGCCCGCGTTCAAGAAGAACGTGATGCCACCATGCACGGGCTCCTCCTTTTAGCTTGTATGCGACCAAAGGAACTCTATGATCTTCCGGAATCTCCATGACCTCAAAGTAAGTCTCCACTTCATATAACCAATCTAGGCACCCTTCAATATTAACATTTCCATTAAAAGTTGGGATCTCAGCTTTCACCTTGTATGTATCTCTTGCATATGTAGGGTTGGGTACTCTCCGATATGCGTAGAGATCTCGTTCTTCAAGGGCATCATCATATTCTTCACCTTCAGAAGCTTCAACATAAATTCGCCTTCTTGAAGAACGTTGAACAACATGTTGTTGTGGCGGTCTTGCTCCAAGATTACCTCTCCTTCTTGGATGAACATCTTCTTCTTTAGATGAATCTCCTTCATTGGTAGCAGGGGGGACACCCTTTCTTATCATCTCAACTAGCTGGTCAAATCTCCGATTAAGATCTTCACGCAACTTTTTGATTTGTTGTTCTGCAGCATCCATCCTCTTCTCCAGTTGCTCCATTGCTTGCTGCAGCTTGCTCTCGAAGAGGACAACAAGAACTAGTATGGGTCAACGAGGCTCTGATGCCACCTGAAGCAGCACAAAGGTTGTGGAGGAGCAACTCCACCTTGCTGCTACAATGTGTACAACACAAGTGTTGAAGGAACAACTTCAACGTGCTGCGCTAGATATCGCTCTAGAGGCGAATGTAGGCCGTTATGGCAGCAAGAGTTCAATCCAGAACTCCTAGAGCACAAGATCTAGTCCAAGATCTTAGATAAGAACAACAAGTTCTATTATAGGTAGTGGGTACATAGTCTGGGTTCAAGGTAGAGGTGAGGACCTCTATTTATAGGGCTTTGGGAAGCCTTCACATACTTCTACTTATAGCTGGAATACTCTAGAAAACATATTTAAGTTCCACCATTCTACTCATAGCTACTCACAACTAGGAGGCTCTAGAAAACAGTAGGTAGGATAGAAAAGAAAAGAAAAGAAATACTACACTAGAGTGGAAGCATCTAGAAGTAGCCAAACAAATCTGACATACGATTTTTTTCTCATCTAGTGTTCCTCATCACAGTAGCAAGAGTGGATATGGGCCAGGCCCCCATACCGGTTCAACACCCCCCTCAGGATTGGTAGATATCTATCATCCCCATCTTGTCACATGCCAAGTTACAGTCCTTTGTTCTGAGTCCCTATTTCAAGCAATCTGCAAATTGCTGCCCAGAGTTGACATGAGCAAGGCTGATGATCCCAACATCAAGTTTCTCTTTAATAAAGAAGTGGGTCAATTTCCACATGTTTTTTCCTATCATGTTGGACTGGGTTATTAGCAATGCTTATAACTGACTGATTGTCTCGCCATTCCTTAGAAGTTTCAACTCGCTCAGTAGGTGCTTCACCCGTAGCATCTCACTCAACCCTTGAGATAAGCCTCTATACTCGGCTTCTGCTATTGATATAGACACAAATGTCTGTTTCTTGCTTCTCCATGACATCAAATATCCTCCACAAACACACAGTAGCCAGAAGGTGATCTTCTATCGTCTTGACAACGGCCCAATTAGAGTCACTACAACCATCCACCTCAAGATGTCCACTCTTTGCCAGCCACAACCTTTTACCCGGAGTACCCTTCAAGTATCTTAGGATTCTGTGCACAATATCAAGCCCACTCCCTGGTTCATGCATGTATCTGCTCACCACACCCATGACATACGAAATGTCAGGCTGGTATGACATAAGTACAATAACCTCCCAACCAGTTAATGATAATCTTCCTTATTCATTAGCTCTCCATATTGTGCTGTCACTTGATGATTTTGTTCAATCGGAGTAGGGGCTGCACGACATCCCATCATGCCCATGTCACTCAAGAGATCCAAGGTGTATTTCTGTTGGCACAAAGATATGCCCTTCTTCAACGCCAAGGAAGTATTTTAGGCAGCCCAAATCCTTTACCTCAAACTCCTTGCTTAGACACCCCTTCAATATCTCTTTCCTCCTTATCATCTCCAGTGATGATAATGTCATCCACATAAATGCAAGAATGGTAATCTTCCGATAAGAGTGTCTGCAGAACATCATGCGGTCACCGTTATGCTGACCATAACCCATACTGCAGACAGCACGCTTGAACCTATCAAACCATGCCCTCACTGATTGTGTCAGTCCATACAAGGATTTCTTCAGCCTGCATACCTTCCTCGTGGTTTCTGAAGTACCAAAACCTGGTGGTATCCCCATGTACACTTCTTCCCGCAGCTCACCATGCAAGAAGGCACTCTTGACATCTAATTGATGCAACTTCCACCCTAAGTTTGCAGCATAGGAAACCAATATTCTTGTTGTTTTCATCTTTGCCACTGGAGCAAATTGATGCGGGCCGGTTTTTGCAGCTCCCCGCAACTTTTTTCCAGGACAGGCCGTTTTAGGGGACCTGGTCGGGATGATTTTTCGTCCCGGTCCCGTAAAATGGCGGTTATTTTAGAGGAAGTGGCTTTTGCGGGATCTGCTAGAGATGCTCTAAGCAACTCATAACATGGTATAGAATTTTGAATTGATAGCGGCCACATGGCTTATGTTTGCAATAGCACATAGAAAGTGACATTGCCATATGACCAGTTTCTGTATCATTGTATTTATGTTTCTTTCTGCAACTGTTTCATTATATGCTGTGATATACTTCTCATGAAACTAAATCAGGGTAAAGCTTTTGCGTTATGTTTTTTCTGTGGTCTTATCTTCAAGAAATTCTTGGATTATCTCATGTGACCTATCTATAAAAGTATTGAATAGTATTTTTGGCAGGCTTGACAGAAGCTTTTAACCCATTTTAAGGAAGCTTTCTTCCTGAACATTTTTGTGTCAAAAATTATGTTGGTCTACTTATTTGATCAGATAATCTCATATCTCAAACATCTGTTATTGTTTCCTTTAAGTTCAAAGCATTAATATTTAATTCATACAGTATTTTACGGCACAAGAACAATTCCGTCGGCATCAGGAGTTTGATCGATATTTGGCTTCCGGAGAACTAGATGATGATGTCTATAAGTTTAGTTCTTCACAGGTATACATATTAATATATTATTACGGAGAAAGCAAACATCTGCACTACCAATCTTTTCATTAATTAATAGCAGAAACAAGCATACATTTGGACATCTTTTCATTAAGAGGAGAAGCAAACATTAGTGGTTGAAAAAAATGGAGATGGTTGTTTTATGTTCTTATTGACACTTGTTCCTGCCCAATTATACAGAAACCAATCTGAGCCCCATCAAATCCAGCACCTCTACTTGCTTACGATTCCAACATTGCAAACTATCAAACCACCACCAATCTGTGCTTAGCACCCATTCACCCCATCATCTGCTTTCCCTAGAACTGAATTGTTTTCCTATTATTGATTATTGTAAGGCTATATCTTTTCCCAAAATATAACCATCTTAGTGGGTTGTATCGAAGTTCTCCTAAGAAGTTCCATTTCATTACTTGGTTATTGTTTTATTTGTTGTTTCAGGATAAGTCTGTTCTGCAATTTGTTGAAAAAAACAACGTGAAAAGTCGGTTCGGGAACCTGGATGATAAGCTCATTAAATTGTCTTTGGAGGTAGAAAGATTGCATCCGCACAACTGATTGGCTGGTTTTGGTTAAGTTCGTGCTTAGTGCTTACAAGTTTCTACCCTATTATAGGATCGAGCTCAGATTGTGGATACAATACGTCAAGTGGATATTTATTCTGAAAACTTGAAAAACATAACAGCGGATGACAAGGTATGGTACTTTTATGTCTTCTGTTTCCCCGCAAGATACTTCTAGCTATTTCCATGAACTATAGTATTGCATCCGTCCTAAATTACTTGTCTTAGATTTGTCTAGGATGTATCTAGACACCTTTGTATCTAACACTAAAATGTGTCTAGATACATCTGTATCTGGACAAATCTAAGACAGGTAATTTGGGACGGAGGGAGTACTTATTTCTAACCTTGCAACAATTCAACATTACAATAGACAGATGATCGTGTCGAGTAAACTTTAGTGGTTAAGAGACTATAGAGGCATAGTGTTCAGATTTCTGGAGGCAACTTCTCGCCCTCTTAAACTTTTCCTTTTGATGCATGCTCAGGATTAGTTTGTTTATTGTTTTCGATCATAAACCACCGAAGATGGGAACCGTTAACTTCCCATCATAAACTGTTCTCTTTTATTATGATTCTTATCCAGTCAAGTTATATCTTGTTAGTGTTAGATTTACACTTGTTACATAGGGAATACAGTAGTTGTGGTACTAATGACGCGGCACAAGGTTGTGGAGGGACAGTTCCACCTTGCTGCTACAAAGTGTACATCACAAGTGTTGAAGGAACTACTTCAATGTGTTGCGGTAGATATCGCTCTAGAGGCGAAGATAGGCCGGTACGGCAGTAGGAGTTCAATCCTAATTTCCTAGAGCACAAGATCTATTCCAAGAGGGTGAGGTCCTCTACTATGTAGGCTTTGTGAAGCCTTCACATCTCCAATCTAGAGAACATCATTTAAAGATTAAGAAAACAAAGAAATATCAAAATATAGGACTTAAGGACCAACTTATCTTGAATGGATTAGAAGTATCTGGAAGAAGCCAAATGTGTTTGACTTCTGATCTGCCTTCTTTATTTCTCTTTATTGTTCCTCATCTAGGTATCTCCATAGAGTGAATGCTCTAGGTGGTAGAGAGTCAAGTCCGCAACATTGGATGTGTTGGATATACCCATCTCCCTTGGAAGATCTATTACATACTCCCTCCGTCTGGAAATACTTGTCATCAAAATGGATAGAAGGGGATGTATCTAGATGTATTTTAGTTCTATATACATCCCTTTTTATCCATTTTGATGGCAAGTATTTTCGGACGGAGGGAGTAAGCATTACTCCCTCCGTTCCTGAATATAAGGTGTATTAATTTCCGTGCAAGTCAACCATTTGAATGTTTGACTAAGATTATAGAATAAAATAACATCATCTCAATACCAAATAGATAAAATATGAAACTACTTTTCATGATGGATCAAATGATATAAATTTTGTGTTGTGGATATCGATAGATTTTTCTAAAAACTTGGTCAAACATGCACTCGTTTGACTTTTGAAAAAATAAATACACCTTATATAAAGGAACGGAGGGAGTATCATTTATCTTCCTCAGAATAGAGAAGGGCCCATATTTTCTCTGCCTAAAGGTAGTCTTTCTTTCTGGAGGTAGACCATTATCACCAACATGTAATGGTTTCAGCCTCCTTTTGCAACCAGCTAACTGTTTGTGCTTCTGATTTTGTGCTTCCAGAACAATGTGAATTTCTTCAAATAATTTAGTGTAGTTATCAGCAAAGGATAATGCTGATTTCAAGTTTCCCCTTGATGGTAGCGTTACCAGGTCCACATGTGTTGGAACTTTAGTGTAGACAATAGTTGCTCCATATTTAGACGCAATGAAATCATTGGACCTCTACAAATATACCGCCCACTTTGTTAGCATGCAATCAACATGTTAGTTGCAATCTTTGTGTGCTTTGCTTAATTGACTAGGTATTAGATAGGTCGGTTCAGACCAATACTTGGCTAGTAAGAGTGTGCAACTGTCAGCTAGTAGACACATTCATTGAATTTGGGCAGCCACTTTCTTTGACTATGTGCTGTAGCAATGTCGGTCATTGTAGCACAGCCCCTATAGCCTCTATACTCCCAAAGAGGACACCAAGAACTCGAATGGATCAACAGGGCTTTGGTACCACTTGACGCAACACAAGGTTGTGGAGGAGCAACTCCACCTTGCTGCTACAAAGTGTACAACACTAGTGTCAAAGGAACATCTTTTCCTTCTTCAATGTGATCTGCTAGATATCGCTCGAGGCGAAGTTAGGCCAATATGGCAGTAGGAGGTCAATCCAAAACTCCGAGAACACAAGATATTGTCCAAGATCTTATCTATATCTATATCTATACCCCCATATAATGTACGAATAACTTTGAATATTGGCATTGGATGAAGCCAATCTGATGGTATATGGGTGGCAAGTCTGAGTGATATAATCTTCACTCCATCGGATTTTGCCACATGTACTATCTAGAAGATCCATGGTTGATTTTAATCGCAGTGCCAAACCTCAAAGTACAAGCTCTTCTCTTAGAATCTTCCATACCTAAACTATCCAAACTTTTTTCTTCTAAATGAATTGCCATTCCTTTTTCCTATGTGATTTACAATGCATAATATGCAAGAACCTCAAAGCACCGGCACTTCTCATTTGTTCTAGACTCTTCTATACGTTTCCTCAAGTTTTTTTTCCTTCTATAAGTTTAAAAAAAAGAGGGTAACAACCCCGGACACTGCATCGATCGATGCACACAGCCATTCTTCTAAAATAACCGCCATTCACTTCTACTTTATGTTTTTGTTCAACATTATGACAGCACGTTCATAAATTCCATTTGTCTTTGAAGATGCCATACTAGCTACTCAAAACTGCAATACAAGATACCTAGACACTAGTGCTGGATATTATTCAAATGAGTTTTGTGTAGTATTATACCACTATTTTTTGACATTTTATAGCTATAATTTGATTTTTGATGGGATGACCTACAAGAATTAAAATCTACATCTACGTGCATATATGATCCCGAACATACATGTTGGTATGTCGATATTCATTCATATTTTGGTTATCTAAGCTCCTACGTGCAATGCATGTGTACCTTACTAGTAGTCTTGAGTTACAAACTAGAGGTGAGGCCCCCTATTTATGGCTTTGTGAAGCCTTCACATCTCAACTTCTAATCCATAGCTAGAAGACCCTAGAAAACATTACTCAAGATTCAGCCTCTACTCATAGCTAGAACACTCTTGAAAACATTGTTTAAAGGTTAAGAAAACAAGCAAATATACAACGTATGACTTTAGGACGAACTTATCTAGAATGTAGAAGTATCTTGAAGAAGCCAAACGGATTTGACTTCTCATTTTTTTTTACTGTTTGACTTCTGATTTTATTCCTTTGCTTTTCTCTGTTGTTTCTCATCAACTAAGGTCAAATATCTATAACTTCAGCGAAGAAATACAATTTTGTTTTTATGTTTAGTATTTGTGACATGAAAAACAAGGAACAGCATTCAATGGCTAGGAAACACATTCATGAACTGATAAGAAATTGTTATATCCTAGAGGGTGTTGTTTCCATTAGTATCACAGCTTCATTAATGCTATGTCGCAATTGCTTTGATCTACTTGTTTGAAACAGTTCTGCAATTCTATACGTGAAGTTATGAGTCAAGGAGTCCTTTCATGTTTTTTAGTTGCAGTTCTGCACCTTGAAGTGAATCAATGGGTTAGGGAGCTCTTTATAGAAAGACAATCATTTTCTACTGTACAGATTATACAATAGGTAGATTGCATTACAATACCTCAAGACTCATTTTCTCTAAAATATACTAATGGGCCTGTTGTCATCACGCATCAGGAGCTCCTCTTTCTCATATGCGTGTGTAGAACATGCTTTTCCCCTCCATTAACCAAACGTGCTAGCAGGAACGAACCACAAGGCGAGATTAAGTCAGGAGACGTGGCGTCTTGTGGCTGAGGAAAGCTAGCAGGAGATTGGCGGGGTGGGGGGGGGTGTCTTAGGGTAGAGGGAAGCTATTGGAAGGAAGTTGGGAAGCAGGTTATGGGTTTGTTTGGCGGGTTAAATTGACCCAGCATTAGAGGTTTTCAGGGCTAAGTAGATTAAAGACATCTCATGGTTTTTGGTGACAAGTCCTGGGGGTTAAGCTGAATCCCCACTGATTATGACTTCTAATGCAATGTACGAACTCCAGCTGAAGGTGTGCCTTCAAAACTTGGTGCATGAGCTAAAGGAGGAAGGCTTTTTCAATGTTGATAACGATTCTATTGACTGGGTATGCTACATTGCCAAAAGCATCATTATGTGTTCTTCTTTTGCAATTATTTGCATCATTAGGTGCTTGCTCTCTTCTATGAAATCTCATTCTTTTGTCATGCCTGTTCTAGGAGAAGACATGTTTTGTATCACTCATAGACGAATTTAAGGAACTAGTTTTCAAAGGACATGGCTGCCCTAGATATGTTGCTATTCAAGGAATTATGGTATGGCTTTTCTATTACTGCGCGCGCGCGTGTGTGTTTTAAGGAGCAGGCTGAACTCAATACAAATCATGACTACTTTTGCAAGGAGTATTGGATAATCTCACAAAGAAGCGACATAAATGGACAAGTTGCTTTTGAAAAGGTTGTTCACTTTATCTTCTGCTAGCAGTGACAGTTGTTTCTCTTTGATGAGACTATATAAATTCTTGGTATTGTATTAGGTCATTGAAGGAGTATGTCATACATGGAAGAAAAACATTGCAGAGGTACTGGAATAACTTATATACTCTATTATAATTATCACTATTGTTGCAACTAATTTGTCGTTTCTCTAGCTTTGGATGGATACAAGATACTACGAGGAATCATGTTATGACTTGCTCAGAAATCCTTTGAAAAAGGTCAGTTCTGTTAGAGAGTTGATATACCCTGTGGAAATTCAGTTTTTCTGGCCATTGCAAATAATGGAGATTGTAACGTTCTTCCATGTTTGATCTGTTAATTAGCAGGATAGCTATTATAGATTTGTAGTCATGTTGAATTCATGGATATTAACCTAGTTTTTGAGATGTAGATTGACCGGTGATATGTATATAGTTGCAATTTTCTTCAGGAAAAATATCGATTTGTGGGCTTCCAAATTCATGCATGCACTTAATGACTTTTACTACTACGTCCGATCCAAATTAATTCACGCAGCTTTAGTACTCCCTCCGTCCGGGTGTATAAGTCATTCGCGTAGTTCTAGGTCATCGATTTGAGGAATTAAATATGTGTTATATGTCATGAAAAGTATAAGGAGAAGATGTCTTAAGCTTTGCTCTAGCCTACAACATGATTGTAGCCAACACCCTCTTTAGAAAGAGAGAATCACATCTGGTGACTTTTAGTAGTGGCCAACACTCTAGCCAGATTGATTTCATCCTCTCGAGAAGGGAACACAGGCGTGCGTGCCTAGACTGTAAGGTGATACCTGGAGAGAGTGTTGTACCCCAGCATAAGCTGGTGGTTGCTGACTTCCGCTTTCGGATTCGTGTCCAGCGGGATAAGCGGGCTAAAGTCGCTAGAACGAAGTGGTGGAAGCTCAAGGGGGAGGTAGCTCAGGCGTTCAAGGAGAGGGTCATTAAGGAGGGCCCTTGGGAGGAAGGAGGGGATGCGGACAATGTGTGGATGAAGATGGCGACTTGCATTCGTAAGGTGGCCTCAGAGGAGTTTGGAGTGTCCAGGGGAAGGAGAAGCGAAGATAAGGATACCTGGTGGTGGAATGATGATGTCCAGAAGGCGATTAAAGAGAAGAAAGATTGCTTTAGACGCCTATACCTGGATAGGAGTGCACACAACATAGAGAAGTACAAGATGGCGAAGAAGGCCGCAAAGCGAGCTGTTGGTGAAGCAAGGGGTCGGGCGTATGAGGACCTCTACCAACGGTTAGGCACGAAGGAAGGCGAAAGGGACATCTATAAGATGGCCAAGATCCGAGAGAGGAAGACGAGGGATATTGGCCAAGTCAAATGCATCAAGGACGGAGCAGGCCAACTCTTGGTGAAGGACGAGGAGATTAAGCATAGATGGCGGGAGTACTTCGACAAGCTGTTCAATGGGGAGAATGAAAGCTCTACCATTGAACTGGACGACTCTTTTGATGAGACCAGCATGCGTTTTGTGCGTCGAATCCAGGAGTCTGAGGTCAAGGAGGCTTTAAAAAGGATGAAGGGAGGCAAGGCGATGGGCCCGGATTGTATCCCCATTGAGGTGTGGAAAGGTCTCGGGGACATAGCGATAGTATGGCTAACCAGGCTTTTCAATCTCATTTTTCGGGCAAACAAGATGCCAGAAGAATGGAGACGGAGTATATTAGTACCAATCTTCAAGAACAAGGGGGATGTTCAGAGTTGTACTAATTACCGTGGAATTAAGCTGATGAGCCATAAAATGAAGCTATGGGAGAGAGTCATTGAGCACCGCTTAAGAAGAATGACAAGCGTGACCAAAAACCAGTTTGGTTTCATGCCTGGGAGGTCGACCATGGAAGCCATTTTCTTGGTACGACAGCTTATGGAGAGATATAGGGAGCAAAAGAAGGACTTGCATATGGTGTTCATTGACTTGGAGAAGGCCTATGATAAGATACCGCGGAATGTCATGTGGTGGGCCTTGGAGAAACACAAAGTCTCAGCAAAGTACATTACCCTCATCAAGGACATGTACGATAATGTTGTGACAAGTGTTCGAACAAGTGATGTCGACACTGATGACTTCCCGATTAAGATAGGACTGCATCAGGGGTCAGCTTTGAGCCCTTATCTTTTTGCATTGGTGATGGATGAGGTCACAAGGGATATACAAGGAGATATCCCATGGTGTATGCTCTTTGCGGATGATGTGGTGCTAGTTGACGATAGTCGGGCGGGGGTAAATAGGAAGTTAGAGTTATGGAGACAAACCTTGGAATCGAAAGGGTTTAGGCTTAGTAGGACTGAAACCGAGTACATGATGTGCGGTTTCAGTACTACTAGGTGTGAGGAGGAGGAGGTTAGCCTTGATGGTCAGGTGGTACCTCGGAAGGACACCTTTCGGTATTTGGGGTCAATGATGCAGGAGGATGGGGGTATTGATGAAGATGTGAACCATCGGATCAAAGCCGGATGGATGAAGTGGCGCCAAGCTTCTGGCATTCTCTGTGACAAGAGAGTGCCACAAAAGCTAAAAGGCAAGTTCTACAGGACGGCGGTTCGACCCGCAATGTTGTATGGCGCTGAGTGTTGGCCGACTAAAAGGCGACATGTTCAACAGTTAGGTGTGGCGGAGATGCGTATGTTGAGATGGATGTGTGGCCACACGAGGAAGGATCGAGTCCGGAATGATGATATACGAGATAGAGTTGGGGTAGCACCAATTGAAGAGAAGCTTGTCCAACATCGTTTGAGATGGTTTGGGCATATCCAGCGCAGGCCTCCAGAAGCTCCAGTGCATAGCGGATGGCTAAAGCGTGCGGAGAATGTCAAGAGAGGGCGGGGTAGACCGAATTTGACATGGGAGGAGTCCGTTAAGAGAGACCTGAAGGATTGGGGTATCACCGAAGAGCTAGCTATGGACAGGGGTGCATGGAAGCTTGCTATCCATGTGCCAGAGCCATGAGTTGGTTGCGAGATCTTATGGGTTTCACCGAAGAGCTAGCTATGGACAGGGGTGCATGGAAGCTTGCTATCCATGTGCCAGAGCCATGAGTTGGTTGCGAGATCTTATGGGTTTCACCTCTAGCCTACCCCAGCTTGCTTGGGACTAAAGGCTTTGTTGTTGTTGTTGTTGTTGTTGTTGTCATGAAAAGTATACCACTAGATTTCCACGCGGATGTAGTTTCTAAATATATATTTTTTGTCACATATAATACATATTTAGATAGTTAAATTATCGACCTAGAACTACGCGAATGACTTATACACCGGGACGGAGGTAGTATAACTTTGAAAGTTATAGTAAAGCTACTGTAATCATTGAGGGAGTAGTTTTTATCGGGTTTGCTCCCTTGTTTTCCGTTGTAGGAGTAGTTTCTTTGCTTGTATGGGTCAGTGCATATGATATGTGGCGTGCATGTAGCTGTTTTCCCTTATCAGGCAGCAATTCTTGGTGTTGTGCTGCTTGTTGATTGGGTGAACAAATTGTGTACTTGCTGTAGCTGTTTGCTATTTCTTTGGCGATTTTTTAGAAGTTCTAAAATATTGTACTAAGGCAGCGTCAATTAATTTGGATCGGAGGGAGTAGATGCCTTCTGTATTTTTCTTAATGTGTTCTTTTCTTTGCACAGATCCTCCCTAAATAGACGAGCTCTTATTACAAGCCACCAACAATGGTTGGATGAGGACTAAACCTCAAACTGCTGCTGATACACAGGTGCAGATGGTCTCCAAGTAAAACTAGCATATGTCTAACAAAGTGAGCAGGGTGACAGGTTACAATGGGGTGTGTCAGTAACTGGTACATTGATGTGTGTGTGCGCGAGTGCTCATGGGAATCTAGTATTATAGCCTGCATGTAGATGAAAATTCGTTTATGTGCCCTGGCACGGAAGCACTCAGAATTATGGTCATTGTTTTCAACAAGATTACTGCACCATCCTATATTTATCTGCTGTATCTTGCAGCTCAGATCTGCAATTGCAGCTGTCTCGTGATCGTTTCGTTATGAGAATGCATGGCAGTCGCATGCTGATATGATAATGCTGTCTGAAGCATGTGGGTTTCGTTATGAGAATGTATGGCAGTCGCATGCTGATATGATAATGCTGTCTGAAGCATGTGGCGTATGGGAGCTGGGCTGGGAGGTTTAAGAGCTGTTATTGATGCATTGACAGAAGTTAGAGCAATTTGGGATCATGGGATGAGCAGTAGTTTGGCAAAAACTTGAAAAAAGCGCCGTGTAAGCCTCTTTGATTGTTCAAACTCACGACCTCCAGCTGGTGTGCACTCGTTGCTAGCCACAAGGGTTGATCAGCTCTGCCGTCGAACGCCATAAGGAACTATCAACTTTAAAAAAACTTTCTTTTGCAATTTCAAACGTGTTTTTAAAGTAAATATTTTTTGAAATGCGAACATTTTAAAAGGACAGGTACTTTTTTTGTTAACACACGAATAGTTTTGTAATTCTTGAACATTTTTTCAGTAATGCATTTTAAAAACAATTGTGAACAAAATTTGATTATGGGATTTTTTGTAATTATGAACCAAAATTTGAAAGCTCAAGCATTTTGCAATTCCTGAACTTTTATGAAAATGCAAACATTTTTTAGCTTGTGAGAAAAAAACATTCAAAAGAAGAACAATTTTAGACATTCTGAGCAATTTTTGAGAACACCAAAGTTTTTAAAATTTTGAACAACTTCTTAAAAACATGAACATTTTTTCAATTTTTCAACAAGTTTTTGGAAAACATGATCATTTTTTGAATTAATGAACAAAATGTGAAACCAAACTTTTTTGAAATTTTGAACAATTTTTGAAGACATGAATAATTTTCAAAAGTGCGAACATTTTTGTAAAAAGGAAATGGAAATAAAAAACAAAAAACAACATAAAAGGAAAAAGAATGGTAAAAGAAACAAAAAAACTGGTTTGGAACTGGCTCGCTCGTTGTGGCTAAATCAGTCGGCCCATTTCTCATGCTAGGTTTGCTTGTGCCTGCACTCAACATTTCGATGCAGGGAGCATGGAGCGTCAACTAGGATTTTCCGTGTCTGTGGTCGGGAGTCATATTTTGGTCCTATTTGGGTTGGACTGCGTTTGGTGTAACTTCTACATACGACTTTGATTGAGATGACTCAAATCTCAAAATCATTCGCCTCGCCGAGACGAAGAGTTTACATGTAGAACACTTTTTCATTTGAGGTGATCTGGGTGTGTAATCGGTTGGACAATACTCGGAGCAGCAACTTTCATCACCCAGAGCAACAACTTTCTGAGGTGATTTTGGGTGCGTAGAAGTGGGACAGATCATCACACAAGGATATTTGAGCCGTTTTTGCCCTGGTCATGTGGATGTTGTGGAAGCATCGAAACGATAGTCTTCGAGGGAGTTTCTCCGTCGATGCTGCATCTGATGACACAGATTGACATTGAAGATTTGGCGACGAGCGGGGATTTAGATAGTTTCTTTGGTTCATTGGCAAGGTGGGTGAGCGAGAGTGGGTAGATTTTGTAGTTAAGGTGGAGGTGGAGATGTGTAGTGTGCATGTAAATGTAACATAACCATGTAGAGGGGCTCTTTTCCTCGCTCTCTTCAGTATAAGCGGTTGGGGCGCCAGCCTGCGGCGTCGCTTGAGAGGAAGCTGGGCGGTGCCAGGTGGGAGGCACCCTTTTTAACTTTCCTTCTTATACTATGTAGTGCTATTGCATCATATGCATTTCAAGCAGCAGAGAGCAAGGATAAACCAGGGATTTCAGATCATCAAAAACAACATTGAAAGTTCATTACACACTTGATGGAACGAGGGACACATCTTTGTTCTAACATCACATTGCTAAAGAGTACTGAAATCATCTCCACAAAAAGAATGAAAAAATAGTTATCGTGGATGGAGTTCCAATCTTCACCTCGAGCTCAATGCATCCACTGTCTCAGATCTCGGGCCAGTCTCCATCGTCCGTCGCAGGTAACCACTGTATCTATGTTAGGAAACCTAATAGTGTAATGGCCCTTCCCCCGAGGGTCGCCCTCCATCTCTACCTCACCTCCTGTTTTTTTAGCCTCATCTAATAATCTCAGTGCAAAATTCAGAAACAAAGAGAGGCAGTTGATCGAGGGGCCGGCCACAGCGGATCCCACACCGGTCCTCCTCCTGGATCCAACCGGCACTGCTCCCTTGGCCATGCTGCGAGGAGGCTACAAAATCAACAAGTTTAGTGCTTCTATGAAACCTACAATAGAGGTCAGATCAGTATGATCGTGGGCATCCAAATGCAAGAGGGTAGAACGTAAATTATCATGACCCACTTGCTGGAAAGTCAAGTGACATGACTTCATTACCGGTGCTGACCAGTGTGAGAGATCTAGCTCTGTACTAATAAATATAAAAGTTTATTTCTGTAAACATATGTTGGAAAGCTAAACAAAGTCCCAAATCGCTACTCATTATTAAGCATGGATGATTAGGAGAGGTGGAGCCGTGGAGGGAGCTTGCCAGCTTGGAACTTGCCGACAACTTGAATCTTGTTCTTGACTATTTCTTTAGTACTTCTCGATCAACTGCCTCTGGGTCTTCTTCATTTTATCTACCAAGTCTTGAGTGCTTTGTGATGAACCCATCCTCCGCCAAGTCCTTCCCGGTAGGGAGACTACAACCGTCAGTGCATAGTCTGGTGTGTAAACACCCAATGTTTACTACACCAACAGGAGCCTCCGGGCATGGCCGGACATGCGTATGAAGCATTCGTCTAGGCTAGGCCCATAAGCATGCACAGACGCACACGTTGAAGGAAGTTACTATCATCATCATTGCTTTTACAGTGCACCCACAATAGCGCACCATCGCATTAAATGCAGGACGTGGGAGTGGTGGAGTGAAACGACAATTTGAGGCAGTGCGCGTGAAAAGGCACAATCACGCCGAGTGGTAAATAGCCAACCCCGTGCGTTTCTCATAAGGCCTTGTACAATGGGAGGTGCTTAGAGAAATAAACCAGACTTTTCTTAAGCACCGGTGCTTATTTGTACAAGATAGATGCTTAACTAAGCGTCTCTCCTGTAGAAATAGGCACCGGTGCTTCAGAAAAACCGGGTTTATTTTTCTAAACATCTCTCTAAGCACCTCCCATTGTACAAGGCCTAAAAGGGAATCTGCAGGTGCGGTGCTCGATTTACTGCCTTCTCCGTCTCCATCCCCACCGCGGCTACTGCTTTCTTCTTCCTCGCACTGAAACAGATTCCGCGCCACTCCACCCCTGCCTCTCCACTAAGCTCCTGCTTCTCAACTACTCCCTCCGTTCCCAAATATAAGTCTTTCTAGATATTCCAACAAGTGACTACATACAGAGCAAAATGAGTGAATCTACATTCTAGAATATGTCTACATACATCCGTATGTTGTAGTCTATTTGAAATGTCTAAAAAGACTTATATTTAGGAACGGAGGGAGTACCATGGCTCTGAAGAAGGCCAACAAGGAGGCGAAGGAGAAGAAGGCCACCATATCGAAGTTGCGGAGGGAGACCATTGTCTTCACGCCGACATTGAAGACTGGCGAGCTTACCAACAAGTACTGCTACATGTGTGTGTGTG